GTCACTTATCCCTGCTTGCCTCAGTTTCTACATCTGTCAAATGAGCTGGAGAAGGAAATGGCATACCACTTTGGTATCTTTGCCAAGGAAACCCCAAATGGGCTCACGAAGAATCAGACAGGATTGAAAACAACAAAAAAACCCTAAGATCTCTGTTTCATCTTGTTTCCCCATAGCGTGTGTGTGCGCATGCGCGCGTCTGTGTGTGTGAGCGTGTGTGTGCATGTGTGTGTGCGCGTGTGTGGTGTGTACAGACATCCCAAGTCATTATTACTATCTCTGCTGTTTAGATTTTTGGATCCTGTGACTTTCTGGGTGTCTCTATCACCTGTTCCTGCCACTTAAAGAGCCTCTACATGGGCTGGCTTGGGTACATGAGTTCTTCACCCCTTCTCCTGACTTTTATTCAGCTTCCCACAGAAAACTCCTCTGCCTAGATTTGTAAGACTCTAGGGAAATATAAGGCCCATGTTAAGGAAGCCCCATTCCTGGCCAGAAGGGCTTCCTTCCTATATTTTAAGCCTCGGTCCAGAAATTCACATTTCAAATCTCAGTCATCGCCTCGTTCTGCCTCTGTTCACTTCTCAGCTCTGCGGTCTCTTCTGAGGTCTTGCCCCCACTGGTCCACAGTGATAAAGAGAACACCTAAGCCTCCAAGGTCTTTAACATCCTGCCTGAGACCCTGCACCCATCAGCAATGCTTTCTAGGATCTTTATGTTGCTTTCATTTGCAGCTATGTGAATCACCAGAGGTAGATACAAACGACAGACAGACTCAGGAGGCTCTGTGTTACATCTCGGTGGTGGGGGCGGGGGACACAGCTGACCTCTCTTACTGTCCTTATCAGGTGGACGACCAGCTGCTTGGGCAGCCTCAGCAAGAACTCCTCCCCAGCACCACTCACCTCTTCTTCTCTACCCCTCACCTGAGATTAAGCTTGTTAATGCACACCATCACCAGAACCCTCTGCTTCCTTTTCCAAAGGCACAGCATTCCACTTCTCAAAAAGTTCCTCATCTCTATTAGATACATCCAAAGATTCAGTAATCTTTCTTCCTTTTCCCTGCCTTCTAGCTGACTAGCCCAGGTCTAGATTCCCTCTGCCTCTTCAGATCCTATTTCTCTGTTCTGATTTGCAGGGAACACTTCATTCTCTTTGATAACCTGGAGAATAGGAGGGTATACTCAACAGCCTTTACCATCGTTGTCGACACATTTCAGCTGTGTCCGACTCTCTGTGACCCCATGTGGGGGTTTCTTGGCAGAGATCCTGCAGCGGTTGGCCATTTCCTGTTCATTTGCCCCAAAAACATCATTTAGAAGAGCATTTGCTGCTTAATGGTGGGAAATTACACGTGTAGAAGAGACCAGTCAACTCTCCCTAATAAATTTTCAGAAAAATCCCATAGTCACAAAGTGGCACCTTGTTGTTCAGTTGTTGTTCAGCTGTATCTGATTCTTCTCGACCCCATTTGGGATCTTCTTGGCAGAGACACTGGAGCGGTTTGCCATTTCCTTCTCCAGCTCATTTTACAGATGAGGAACTGAGGCAAACAGGCTTAAGTGACTTGCCCAGGGTCACACAGCTAAGGCCAGATCTGAAGTCAGGAAGGTGAGTCTCTTCCTGACTTTAGGCCACCTAGCTACCTCCAAGCCTTCAAGAAAGTGACCACCCTCGACATAGTGCATACATAACCAGGAACAGAATTTTAGACTTATTGTGGTCTCACGTACCCGTAGGTACCTTCATCCCCAAATATCCAAAGATTCTCTTGTGGTTACGAGTGAGCTTTTAAAAATATTCTGTTGATATTTTTTGTAAATGATTTTTGTAAGTACATCTTCATATCCTGCAATTTTCATCAAACTCCTCTATCGTACCAATTTATCAGCTGAGGCAGTTGGATCATCTAGATTTACTGTAAAAAAAAATCTACAAACCTTCCATTTTGATGCTTACTTCGTGCCACGCTGCAAACACTACATCCTTTCTCCCATTGGTGAGTCCCTCCCGAGTCCTCCATTTTCAAGAGGGGTCCAGGCTGGCCAGCCTTCATTCCCCTCTTGGCTGTGCCCCTGCACAGCTGCCACGACGCAGCCCCTACCCTCAACCCCTCAGGCTCCCTTCTGCATACAGTCTTCCCTCGTTAGAACGTAAGCTCCTTAAGGGCAGGGATTATCGTCCCTTTTGCTTGAATTTATCTCCCCAGAATTTCAGCACAGTGCCGGCCACAGAGTAAGCCCTTCATTAATGCTTGCGGCCTTGCCTTGCCTCCAACATGCTACCAAATGCCAGTGATTCAAAGGAGCCCCGCTGTTTGGTGCCAGCTTTCGGTGGAATTGCTTCGAAGCTTTCTCCATCGCACGCTACGGAGGCTCCTCCTTCAGGGCTGGGAGTTTTTCTGTCGAGGATGAACCCCTCAACTGCCATTCTTGTTAGTGCTGCTTTTTAAAATCACAAAGGAAGGTTGCATTTCATCAAAGGGTCTTGTTGCATCTCTCCACGTGAGCCTACTTTACAGTGTTCATTGGGCGGATCATTCCAACACAAATCCTGCTCGCCTACCATCGATCAGGTTTAATGCATCGCTGTGTGCTCGTGTCAGCTACTATTTTATTCAGTATTTCTGCCTTTATATTCGAGAGAAAAACTGGACTAGAATTTTCCATTTGATGTTATCTTTGCCAGCTTTTAAAATCAATACCACATGTGCTGCACCAAAGGTACTGGGCACCATTTTGTCTTCCGCTATATTGATGCATAATCTCTGCAGTAAAGCAATTATGGGTTTTGAAAGGTTTGAAAGAATTTACCTGAAAGCCCCTCTGAGCCATTTGTGTGTGTATGTGTATGTATATCTGTATGTGTGTGTATGTGTATGTGTATGTGTGTATGTGTGTGTGAGAGTCTGTGCATGAATATGTGTGTGTATGTTTATGTGTGTATGTGTATGTGTGTGTATGTTTGTGTGTATGTGTGTATGTGTATGTATGTGTATGTGTATGTGTGTATGTGTATGTGTATATGTGTGTGAGAGTCTGAAAGTCTGTGCATGAATATGTGTGTATGTGTATGTGTGTATGTGTATGTGTGTGTGTGTATGTGTGTGTGAGAGTCTGAGACTCTGCATGAATGTGTGTGTATGTGTGTTTGCACACAAGCACGTGTGTGTGTATTCACTGGAAGCTTGACTTTTTTGCCTTCTGAAATTATTCTATTTAAAATAACTGCTTCCTCATTGTACTTTTGTAGGTAATTATCTATCTCGCTCAGGCTCTCTGTTTTGTTAGCACACACCTGCTTGGAATGATCCCTGGTGCTATTCTTAATTTCTTTTGCATTTCTTGTGATCTCCTTTTTATTGATAACTTTGTTAATCTGCTCACTATCTATTGGTTTCTATCAAAACCAGCTTGTGATTCTGTTTTTTAATTCAATTGTTCTACCAGTTTTTATTATTTCCTTTAACCCATCTTTTTTTTTTTGGCTAGGCAATGGTGTTAAGTGACTTGCCCAAGGTCACACAGCTAGTAAGTGCTATGTGTCTGAGGCCACATTTGAACTCAGGTCTTCCTGAATCCAGGGCCAGTCCTCTATCCTCTGCACCACCCAGCTGCTCCCTAACCCATCTTTTTAAAAAATAAATGTTCATACATGTTTTTAAAAATCCCAATCCTTTCTGGAAATACCCTTCCTTTCCTGTCCCTTTTCCTCTCCAGATGAGCCCTCTCATCTAATGAAGAAAAGCAGCAGAGGGACGGCACTATGCCTGAGAGCATGAGGCACTGGGTGTGCAGGCAGGCTGGTACCCCCCCCTCCTTTCTGCCCCAAACAGGGAGGTTACTCCCGCATCTCTCCCCAGGGGCCAAGGCTGGCCAGAACGATGACTGTGTGAGGGGCTTCAACTTAGTCTTTGCCCTTAACATTATAACCTAACCTCTGCGGGCCTCAATTTCCTCAAACATGAAATGGAGCAGCTGGACTAGATGAGCCCCCGAGGTCCCTCCCACCTCTTAATGCCTCCTGCCCTTAATCTTACCCAAAACATCTTCTGACATCATCTAGCCTTCACCCAAAGACCTCTCATGAAAAGCAGCCTTCCACCAAGCCAAGGCAGCCTCTGCCTCTTTGGACAGCTCAAATTTCTAGGAAGTTTCTCCTGCCGCAGAGCTGAAACCTGCCTCTCTGCAGCCTCCCCCATCCACCCACTCCCTATCACTCCAACTTCTGCCCTGAGGCCAAGCAGAACAATTCCCACCACCTTCCACATTTAAGCGCCTGAAGCTATGACACCCATCCATTCATCATCTCTACTCTAGGTTGCTCTGACCAAATCTCTGCTGGCAAGATCTCAAGACCTTTTACCATCCTGACTGTTCTCCTCAAGGCATTTTAATTTTCAAAATGCATCTTAGAATATGGGGCCAGAACAGAACCCCAAAATACAGCTCTTATCTGACTACAGCAGGGCACCATGAAGCATCTCCCACTTTCTGGATGTGATGCCCCTTTTAATGGAGCCCACAGTGGCATTAGCTTTTGAGGGAACACACTGTACTGTTGAATTATATCAAGCTAACTGGAAGTCCACTAAGACATGCAGATCATTTTCACCTCAACTATCAACTAGCCATGCCTTCCCCATGCTGGTTTTTTGGGGGGGTTTTAAATATTTAAACTCAGAATGAAACTGAGCTGAAGGAGGTCAACAAGACTGGTAACGTATAAGTTTGTAAGCTTTTATTAAATTAAAAGCAACCCATCACAGACTGCCATTGGTGGTCAATGGGGCGACACCTTCACTTGGGACACGTCCCACGGGTTCTGGGCTGAAGCCTCTCTAATCACACACACACAGACCTATTGACCTAGCTGTTCTGCCTCCAACTTAGCAATCTCTCTGCAGAGCTTTGCAAACAAAACACAGCAGCAAAATTCTAGAGGAGGAAGCAAGGCACCACCGACCCAGAAGTCCCCAAACAAACCTGATCCACTTACCAAGGAACTCTCGACTTTTGGTTCTTGCTGGATCACTGATGGAGATGGCCTAACTTGGTGCTGAGAAGTCGAGGTGAGTTCAGGAGGAAACTGATGCGCACTCCAGGCCTGGGAGCGTGTGGATAAGCTTTCCCTTGCTCCTTTGACCTAGTGGGACAAAGAGAGGATGGGCATGTCAGGCTGAGCACGACTGCTAGGTGCCATTTGTAGTGGGAACAGAGGGCTGGCTGCCAAGTCCGGGCCTGTGGGGACTTTGCACTGCATACTAACATCCTTTAGTCACGCACTGTGGACGCGGGGAGAAGCTAGCAGGACTTTGGGTGGGAGACGGTCTGGAGGACTGGAGCATGCTCCTATTGAGAACCTGGAGAAATAGGGCATAAAACAAGCACCGATCAGTTACACATTATGGATTTAGACTGAGGGAGCAACCACGGGCTTCCTGTGAGTTGATGAAACGAAATTATCTAGATGGGAGAAACAGGTGGAAGGATGACTGAGTTATAGTTTAACGTTTCATCCAGTCAGACCACACTGCTGATAACAAAATGAAGTTTAACCACAGTTCCTCAGAGAATCACAAAATCGCATGATTTTTAGGAGGGACCTCAGACAAGCTCTAGTCCAGCCCCTACCCACAAAAGAATCCCCCTCTCACATACCCAGCCTCACCTGGGAGGCTCTAGACCAGGCTGCTTATGGGGAGGATCTCCAAGAGAACCAAAGCATGGGGGTGGGGTAGATTATTCATTTAAACCCAACCAAAGGTCATTTTATCTCTCTGGGCCTCAGTTTTCTCATTTGCAAAAGAAGAGGACTGGGGTGAATTCTCTCTAATATTCCTGTTAGCTTAAGTTCCCAAGATCAGGCATCAGACAGCCAGGTCCAAATGCAGATTGGGTACAAGTTTATAAACTGAGGCTTGGAATGAATAGTCTTGTTTAAATAGAATGCTTTTGGTTTATAGGATGGGTACCATTCTTTAGAAACTCTCAAGGCCAGAGTAACCCATCTTATCTTATAGATATCCCCACTTCCTTGATAACTACCCAAGATAAATATGGTCACCTTGGTAGGCCAATCCAGGCAGCACCTGCTATATTGGCCGGGGTGGAACAGAGGTGGTGAGCCCCTTTCCCCCCACCTGCCTCCATCCCCTCCCCCATCCAGTAACACTGTTGTTAACTTTGACAGGTTCCTGAGCCCATCTGCCTTCAGACCCACTCATGCAGAGAGGACGCAGCTTCTCCGTCCCCACGGTCAGAGTGGGACCTCACTCTTGTTCACTGCAGGGACCTTCCGGTGTCCTGGCAGCTAACTCCCACTCCTCAGACCTTAAAGAGCAATGCAGGCATAGGTCCGGCCACAGTCTACCCACCTGTCAGGCACATTCACTGGCTGACACCTTGAATACAAGGAGGAGGAAGTGGGGAGGAAGAAGGCTCAAAAATCATGGCAGGAAGTCTTGGGTTTGAATCCTGCCTCGCACATTTACTGAATGCATGACCCTGTGTGAAGTCATTTCACTTGTCTCTGAGCCTCCGTTTCTTCATAGCAATGACACCCCCATCTCCCAATCCCCAGGATGCTCGAGAGCTCAAATGGAATAATACGCATGAAGCTCACAGAAAATTTTAACTCCAGAGGAACGTGGTGGTTATCCCAAAGTGTTCTGACTGGAGAAGGATGGGCTGGCGGCCCAACCTTCCAAAGCGACCTCAGGGAGCATCTACTTCTAACCCCCCATTATACAGACAAGGCGACTAGAGGCTGAGAAGTGAAGGACTCTGCTCAGGGTCACAGCAGTGATATAACAGTGACAGAATAAACAAATCACAAAAATAGGAAAGAAAAAGCAAGTGTGCGTGCGTGTGTGCACGCGCGTGTGCGTGCACGTGTGCGTGTGAGCGCACGTGTGTGCGTGCGCGTGTGTGTGTTCATGTGTTCGTGTGTGTGTGCGCGCGCATGTGCGTGTGTGGTGGGGATCTCAACTATACTTGGGAGGCAAGGCCGGACCGTGGAGGGAGGCCTAGATTGGGGGTCAGAGGACCTGGGTTCAAATTCTAGCTCTACAATGTACGTAGGACCCGAGTGGCACCTTGGACCAACTGCTTCTCATCTTCATCCACGAAATGGGATAATAACAGCACCTACCTTCCAGGGCTCATGTGAGGGCCAGAGGAGCCTGACATACGCACACACAGAATACATGTACATATAATACCATATATAATAACACAAACATGCACACTACACATGTGCATATATTGTATCATGTGCTACAACACATGTATGTCTCATGTATACAATATGTACGCAGTACTTCAGATGTGTTACATTGCATACAGGTGATATACCTCAACACGCATAAGTGTGTGTATCTAAATGTACACATATACACGTATGTATATGTCCTGTGGTACATTATGCGTGTAACAGGTTATGACATATTACTACATTCTATGTATATATTTGCTTTGCAAACCTCAAAATTTCTATTATTATTATTATTATCATCATCATCATTATTATTTTGCTCCTCTATTTTGTCCTTGAACAACTAAGCCAGGGAAGGACACAATATGGAGTAAGGAGAGAGCGCCGGAGTGAAGAGAACCTGGGTTCAAATCCCACCTCTGACATTTAGCACCTGTGTAACTTGAGGCAAGCAAACTTTCCCCCGGACCTCAGTGTCCCCATCTGAAAAAGAGGAGTTTGGACCAGCTGGCCTCTACACTCCTAAAGTGATGACCCTTAAAGCTCTGGGGACACCCAAGGTCGCCCTGCTTTGACCTTGAGGATTCAAAATGCCACGTGGGTGAGCGGGTCACGGGCATGAAGTCTGAGGGGAAGGTTTCAGAGGAGGGAGGGATGCTCTGGAATGGCTGGAAAGACGGCGGGTGGGCAGGAGGGACTCCGCCTGGGCCTTCAGAAATGGGGCCATGAGGAGGAGAGCGCCAGAAGAGGGAGCCCTTTGGCCACGAAATGGGCACGCCCGAGGAGGGGCGGCAAGGACAGTCGGCCGAGGCCAAAGCGGGCTTCCTGAGGGAGCCCGCCAGACGAGATGAGCTCACGGCAGGTCAGGTCCCGACGGCAGCCGGGTGACTTCAGACCTACTCTTCAAAACAAGAGAGAGGCAGGTTTTGGAGCACGGGAGGAAGGGATGCGAACAAAGTTTATTCTGGACAATTCATACGGCAGCAGTGAGGACCGTCGGGGCAGGAGGAGCATCCAGATAAGGGAAGATGATGCCAGCCCAGGCCGGGGAGGCAGAGGGCCTGCACTTGAGCAGTCGCTGAAGGATGTGCTCAGACTCTGTACGTTCACTCAGCCAATAAGCTCGGGGCAATGGTGAGAGGCGACTGCTCTAGCAGACATGAAGCCAGGTGAAAGCAGAGATCGAATCCTGACTGCAGCCCTGGGCAAAGCCCTTAACCACCCCGGGGCTCAGGGTCCTCAGCTGTAAAACGGGGGAAATGACATTCAGACTAACTACCTCAAAGGGCTGATGTGAGGACGCCTTTGATAACCCTCAAAGTGCTACAAAAATGTGACTAGAAATTATTACTGTTAATGATGACCCAATCATACGGAACTTTCAAATGGTCAAAGTGGTTTGGGTTTTCTTCCCTCTCTCTTAACAACCCTGGATGGTCATCCGTTTAAATGATTACCGCAAGACAACAATTAAACAAAGTCCAGTGAAACAATAAGGGAACCCAACACAGACTGAATCCCAGACCAACAAGGGCGTGGAACCTCCCCCCCACCCCGATAAATGATCGCACGCAACAACACAGCGACAGAAGCCTGCTCTGCAGCCCTTCCCAGGTGCCGAGTGCACCGAGTGAACTGTCATCAAATGCCTCGCCACAGCCCAGAGAGGCCACATCTACAGCATCTCTGCACCCGCCACCACGCCAACCCCATCAAGAACAAAATGCCGCCGGTATGGCGCTGCAGGACCACTTAATAAGCACTTATTGGATAGATGATCTTATCTCTAGGAAACCTAAGGAAACCGTACAGTACCATGAGAACAGGCAGAGTCAGAACACCTAGACTTAACCCAGCTGGTTTGGTTTTTAACACAAAGAGTGTTTTAAATCATAAGAGTCTCACATAGAAATAAACTATTTTTATCACACGTTAACTTTGTAACAGCCACGCACCCCTCCTCCCCCAAGGAGCAGGTTTATTCTTCCCTTGTTCTGAAAACACCTTTAAACATATGTTTGGTGTCCTTTACAACTCTGGCTCATTCTGAACATCCATCTTTGAAACACAATTTTTACGGTTCTCTTTCACTCTTCCGGAACCACCCTAGCTTCCGTGCTCTTGCTCACCCCCTCAATACGCCCTTTAAAAACACGAGCCCACACACGGGAGAGCTCCCTAGATGGCCACACTGATTTTTGTAGATGCCTCCCATTATTAACCCCCAAGAGCAAAATGTAAAATTATGTTGTCAGAACTTCATTCTAAAGACTCAGGGCATGGAACCTTCCCTGTCATTTTTCTGAGCCATCTGAAATCTGTCTTCCAAAAGCCTTGACATCCACCTTTATCTCTCTCACTAGAGCATTAACAGCTGCTTGAAGGGAGCAACTGTTTTGCATCCCTCACAGCACCTTACAGAGTGACTTGAACATAATAGGCTCTCAGTAAAAAGTGGTTCTGTGAATGATCTTTCTGCCCCAACCTGACCTAGAGGTTCCCAGGAGGTACCATGAAATTGCTGTATCATTATGCCCACTTTCCTGTCCCCTGTGCTACTATTATGGGCAGCTAGGTGGCATAGTCAATAGAGCACCAGTCCTGGAGTCAGGAAGACCTGAGTTCAAATCCAGCCTTAGATACTTACTAGCTGTGTGACCCTAAACAAATCACTTAACCAGGTTTGTCTCAGTTTCCTCATCTGTAAAATGAGCTGGAGAAGGAAATGGCAAATGACTCCAGTGTCTCTGCCAAGAAAACCCCAAATGGGGTCATGAAAAGTCAGACATGACTGAAAAATGACTACTGTAATTCCCTGTTTCTTTAGGACTTCTCACTAATGCCAGCCTGTGGTCTCCCACTATCTGCTCCCCTTCTACTCAGGTGACAGGTACGTCAAGAAGCCCTTCCAAGGTCTGAGCCACGGCTGG